TAAAGTAATAAAATAACATCTAAGGGCATGAACCTATATATGTATATATAAAGCTGAATATAGACAATTTGATGTGGCATCTCTCTATGACCAGTATTTCTATTCATCTTTTTTCTCCTTTTTTTGACATTTTATCTTTGTTTTGTATTTTTTATTTGTATTTAAAAAAAAAAGTATTTATGTCATACCCGATTAATTATGCCCTTTATAACATCCATTACATTACTATAGATTTAAGTAAATGAAAATGGAAGATGAAAAGATAAAAACTATTCATTTTTTATAATTGTTTATAATTATTTAGCCTATAAAATAAAATAAAAATAGTTGAGCATTTGTAACAAATAAGAACAATTTTCTTCACTTTGGCTCTTCTTCTTCTTCTGACGATGATGATCAATATATGGTATCAACTTCTGTCGCTAAGATGTCCATCAAATTTATAGGTCATGTGACTTTTTAACAAAAGAGAAAGAGAGAATATCTCATGATTCTTGTGAAGACATTGATGTAAAGAAAGAGATTATGTAACAAAAAATTCTTTTCAAAATAAAAGACTTTTTGAAAAAATGTTTATTCCTCCTACAAGGAGAGAAAATTCATTGTGGTTGAGAAATCTATAAGAAGGCTGATTAGTGTTTCAAAGGGTAAGAAAAATTACTTGGAGAAAAAATCATTCTATTTATGGAGTTCGTATCAAATTAGGAGGAGAACAAGCAAAAATTTATTTTGTCATTTGAAAAGAGAGAAAATTAGATATTATTTCTTTCAACCTCATTATTCTTCTAATTTCTTTCTTCTTTTATTTTGTCTTAATTTTTTGTATCTTTAATTATTTGTTTTTTTCTTATTTATCTTTAATTAAAGTTTATATATATATTCTTAAAAAAGAATTTAAAAAGATGATCATATTTAGTTCCTTTCCTCATTAATGCTATTAATCTCATAATTAGTGTTATTTATATTATTTTCTTAATTACTTTTTTTTTCTTTCATTTAATTATTTATTTGAAGAAATTAGTTATTATAACTTTATAAGAATTACACATGTATTTTTACATAATTCATTTGTTATTTTTAAATTTTTTGGATCATTCTTCATCTTAAAGTTTCTATAATGGGTCTACTATAGAATTCCTAGAAATCAAACTTGAAAAATTATGTTAAAAATGGAAAATAAAAAGTGAAATAAATTTAATTGAGAGTTATCCTTCGTTTGTCCCATTTTATGTGACACTTTTTATTTTCGAGAATCAAATAGTTTAAGTTTGACCATAAATTTGCGTATGATATCTTCAATTTTTTAAATTTTTTTGGAGAAATTAGATAAATAGTAATCTTAGTTTCTAAGAAATATGACATCATCATTTACATATCCAACTTTTATGTATATAAAAGAGTTAAAAAAGAAAACATAAGTGATTTAAGATAATTATTCTCTTATTATATAAGAGGGAGTTTATGATGGGACATTGTAATGTCCAATCATAAACTCCCTATATAATATATAATATATAATATAATAAATCATTTTTCTACTATATAATATATATTTATTTTTCTACTATAAGGGAGTTTATATAATATATAATAATATAATATAATAAATCATTTACAAATGACTTAAAATATTTAATATTTAAAAGATATATAATAAAATACGTTGACTCTCAAAATTCTATCCGAGTCACATATATTGGGACAGAAAAAATAACATATATCATTTCAAAATTACCAAAAAAGTATTATAAATAATAATAATTAACTTTCTACTATAAGGGAGTTTATATAATATATAATAATATAATATAATAAATAATTTACAAATGACTTAAAATATTTAATATTTAAAAGATATATAATAAAATAGGTTGACTCTCAAAATTCTATCCGGGTCACATATATTGGGACAGAAAAAATAACATATATCATTTCAAAATTACCAAAAAAGTATTATAAATAATAATAATTATCAACTTAAAATATCTGAAAGACATTTTAAAAGGGTTAATTTTGTAAGTTTATCCATATCACATAAATTAGGACAAAGTGACCAGCAATGTAAGTTATTTGAAAGTTACATAAAAATATTATGAATCACAATAATTAATAACTTAGAACATTTTTTTTTTAAATGCAAATTTGGATGACTCTGCAAATTTCATTTGTGTCACATAAATTGAGACAACAAAAATAACATATATTGCGTCCATTTTAATTTATTTGCCTTAATTTTTTTTTATATTTAAAAATTGCGTAAAAATACTATAAATCATGATAATTGACAACATAAAATATTTCAAAAATAAATACATATAAAAAAATTTGATTAATTCTTGAAATTAATCTATCGTTAAAAATTATGTATAAAATACAATAAATCGTGATTTTGACCACTTAAAATATTTATTAAAAGAAAAAATAAATTGACTGATTGTTAAAATTAATCTATCAATGTCACATAAAATGAGACAAAAGTAGTAATATGCATTGTTTAATGTGAAATTATTGAAAACTACGTAAAATGTATTATAAATGTTAACAATTAACAACATTTGATTGAATCTTCAAATTTTATCAATGCTACATACATTGAGACAAGTGGAGTAATATATATTAAGTATTTAAAAATTACGTACAACCATATTGCTTTCTGTAGGCTTCGAATTATCGTGGTCATTTTTTAGGCTGATACAAGTTTTGTACTTTTTTTTTAATATTATAAATCGCAATAATTAATAATTTAAAATATTTTTAAAAATATATTAAAAATTTAGTTGGTTTCGGGATTTTATTTATACTATATAAAATGGAACAAAGGAAGCAACATATATCATTTACAAATGACTTAAAAAGCATTAAAAATTACAATAATTACCAATTTAAAATATTTAAAAGCTATATAATAAAATAGGTTCACTCTCAGAATTCTTTCAGGCTCACATATATTAGGACAGAAAAAATAACACATATCATTTTAAAATTATCAAAAAAGTATTATAAATAATAATAATTAACAACTTTAAAAGGGTTAATTTTGTAATTTTATCTATATCACATAAATTAGGACAAAGTGACCAGTAATGTTGGTTATTTGAAAGTTACATCAAAATATTATAAATCACAATAATTAATAACTTAAAACATTTTTTTTTAAAAAATTAAAATTTGGATGACTCTCCAAATTTTATTTGTGCGACATAAATTGAGACAAAAAAAATAACATATATTGGGTCCATTTTAATTTATTTGTCTTTTTTTTGGGGGGGTTTTATATTTAAAAAATGCGTAAAAATATTATAAATTATGATAATTGACAACATAAAATATGTTTTGAAAAAAAATACAAAAAATTCCACTCATTCTTTAATTGAATCTATCGTAAAAATACTATAAATCATGATAATTGACAACATAAAATATTTCAAAAATGTTGTATGTGGATAGTCTTATTGTGCCTTGAATAGCGTCAAATAAAGTACAAGTTTGTGATAAAAAAACTTATTCCTTTATCCACGCAAACAATCGCTTCAAAATCTCCGTTATTTGCCCCAAAACATACCATTTATATTATTGGGCCCGTTCCCGTGCATAGCACGGGCAACATTACCTAGTATATAAATAACATTAATGATGAGATGAAGATTCAGAAAAAACGTCAAATAAATTAGTAGTATTGATGATGATAAAAGTTAAATAAATAATTTTTTCTATTATTTAAATTTTTAACATAAAATTTTCAATCTTTTAAAATTAAAAATAAATGTTAAAAATAAAAATAAAAATCGAGGCAATAAATATTTTAAAGAAAAATATAACCAAAATTGTCAGAAAAACACGTGTACAGAAAGCAGTACACATTCCAATGTGTAGAAAAAGTAGAAGTAGATGAAGTTACTTTAGTTCATCTTTTTGGTGGGCCTCAATGTACAATTTCTATAGCTTTTAGTCCAACTCTTTAGTGCAATGTTGGTCCTCCCAAACTCCCATTTCAAAGTAGAGAAGAATTGCAACTAATAATTTTTTAGGTTGAATTGCAACTTAGTCAGAAGGTTATATTTTTGAACAAACACTATAAGTTGCAATTCTTATCATGTTAATATAATAATAAAAAAATATTTTCAAAATATCAATTAAATTTCACATAGCTTGAATTTCAAGAATAAACATATATCATATAAATTGAGAGAGTATGTATGTATGTAGGAGTTTATGGATGATTTTCGATTACATGGAAATAGAAACAAAACTTATGTAATTATTTGTGAAGATTACGGATGGTCTTTCTATTATATTTTCTTGTTGGAGAATATTAGATACATTTAAGTGTTTACGAAATTAGAAAATGATGAAACTATTGAGAAGAGAAAAAAAATTGATTTTATACTCCTTTTGTATTAGTTATTTTAGTTTTTTTTACACATTCTTTAAGAAATTATTAATAAAAATGATAATTTACTAATTTACTCTTTAAGATATTTATTTTTTTATAACTTTACAAAGTTTGTTTATACTTTAAAACAAATAATTGCTAGGGTAATGAAAATTAAAGAAATGATAGTTTAATTTTGTTAATCGATAAATAATTTGAATAATTATTTTTAGTAATTTATATAACTAATATAGGATAGAAAAATAATAGCAAATGTTAGGAGTATGATGAATTAGGCTAAATTTTATACTTTTAAAAGGAAAATACTAAATTTGAAATAATGGTTAAAACAAAACAAAAAGTGGAAAAGTTAAAATAAAGGGAAAAGTTAAAAAGTAAGAGAGAGAAGGAACTTTGACCCATTTTTTTGAAAATGAGACCCAAGTAAGTAAGGCCAAACATATATAGTACAATTCATGATCCCTTTTGTACAATTTAATAGTGCATTGTTGGTACACCTTAACTCTCACTTCTAATAAGTAGTAATATGCGAAAAGTTGGACGAAGATGAAACAAGTGAGCCAAACATCTAGATATTTTCGAATAGTTTAGGGCCGAAACCTTTTCCTTTCTTTAATTAGAAGCGGGGATCCCCTGTTTACTGGTAAGAACTTAAAAACCCTAAACCCTAATCATGGGCACCGCAACAGAGAGCGAGAGCATGGATTCCGAAAGCACATCAACACAAGAGGAGACCTTCACAAAGGTTTCGGTATGGGATTTGCCGGACTTGCCAAAGGGGAAGTTGCCTCCTCACATTGAGCTTCAGAGGACTCGCGTTCTCTGTGGTTCTTTAGCTCCTACTAATGTAAAGTTTTGATTTTTCTTGATTAATGATGTTGTGTTGTGATTTTGAGTTTGTTGGTGAAGAATTTTGAGGTTTGTTTACTGTTCTTATGTTTTTTTTTGTTTGTTGTTTTGGGGGAGTGAAGACAGAGAATGTTAATTATTCAGGCGCTTATGCGGCTATGGGTGTTGATAACAGTGTGCGGTTTGAGCAATTTCGGAATAATTTCAAAGTGGAAATTGTGAGACTTGAGGAGGATGAATTGGAGTTTGATATGGTTGGTATTGATCCTTCTCTTGCCAATGCATTTCGCAGAATCCTAATTGCTGAGGTGCTCACTTCTCTCTCCCTCTCTACAGTTTTTCTGAATTGAATTTTTGATGTGGTTAGGTTTTGTTTTCCTTTTACTGTTTGTTTTGTGCTTAAAAAACACTTGAAATAAGCCAATTCAAACGGGCTCTTAGTGAAGCGATATGTTCTACCCTAGGAAATTCATGAACTTGGTCAACTGTTTGGCTAGCAATGGGAGCTGTGACGTTTCAAAGTTTAAATCTGCACGTTCAAAAAAAATACTTAGATTTTCACATTTTGGAGTAAATTTGTGCTTCTGCTTCAACTTTTTATTTTAGGAAACAGAAACAATTTAACCACTTTCTGATTTTCTTGTTTGCAGAAGCTGAAAGCTTTCAAATTTAAGTAAATTTAGCTACTTTTGATAACTATTACTATTTAGTATTCCTTGTACTTTGATTATTGTATTATTTTGTTGTAGTTACTTTTCTTTTTTGAATGCTTTGTCTTGCCTTGTTTAGTATTTTGTCTTGGTTCCTTCACTCCTATTATTTTCTTGAGCCTAGTTTCTATCAGAAACAATGTTTGTACCTTCCAAGGTAGGGGTAAGGTCTGCATACACACTACCCTCCCCAAACACCACTTGTGGGATTACACTAGTTATGTTGTTGAGGCAATGTAGTAAGATTTCATGAACAATTGATTCTGGGCTACTTTGAGGCGTATTTTCTGCTTATTTATCGACAAGCCATTTTGATTGGACCATATAAACTTGTTGGTTAGTTTAAGACACGAACTCGATGATTGGGACATATTTATTTTATTCCTCATAACATATTCTGGCTTGTGTTGTTGTTCCTCTACTTGATGAATTGTGTCTGGCATTTGAAATGTTGATGATGTTTATTTATTTCCCTTGCTGTCTGGCTGTCATTCAGCTCCCAACCATGGCTATTGAAAAAGTTCTTATTGCAAACAATACGTCCATTATCCAAGATGAAGTACTCGCTCATAGACTTGGTCTCATCCCAATTGAAGTCGATCCAAGGCTGTTCGAGTATATGTCAGGTATTAGATCTTCTTGTAACATCATATCAGTAGTTACTATTGAGTTTCGTTTTAATCCTCTCCCCCCTTTTCTCAAATAAAGGATTTGCCTCTGATGAGAATTATGATGGCTAATTAACTTGTTCCTCTTTTTTTGGTCAGAAAATGATGTCCCTAATGAAAAGAATACAATTGTTTTCAAACTCCATGCTCGTTGTACAAAAGGCAGTGATCGACTTAGAGGTAATATTATTAGTATGACTATATCATGAAAATGTTCCCATCATTTAGTTCTGCATTTTCTGTTCTTTCATGTGTGGTGCTCCATTTAATTGCCACTACTCATGCAGGCTAATTAATTCTTCTGCATTTCTGTGTTAAAAATTGCAGTCTTGTCTAGTGAGCTGAAGTGGTTACCAAATGGCAGTGAATTGATACTAGGAACCGAACATCCAGCATCAAGTTCGAGTGCGAAACCAAAAACTTATACTTCATTCAGCTGTAGTCAGGATACTCTACCAGAATTCTCGAATGACCCAATTGCCCCAAAAGATGCAGATATTATTGTAGCCAAACTTGGACCGGGTCAGGTAGCCCTTGTGTCTTATATATTCTTATTTGCTGCTCCCTGTTGAAAAGGGAAGAAACTTATTAGAGCCAATATTTGAATTGTTGAACATTGTAGTATTGCTGCTTGATCATCAGCACTTTGCTCTTTGTTATTTCACAAACTTGTAGGTGCACTTTTGCTTTTCTATCCTTTTTGGCTTTGCATATTACTAAGTGAAGATTCTGCTAGACAACCATTTGTTATGGAAGTTTTGTTCTAAAATACCTGTATCCCCATTTGACTAAGAATGGCAAAATTGCATCAACACTTTTTGACTTTTTCTATGTAGTGCACTAACTCTTTCTTTGTATTCTTTCTTTGCTTCGAATATTACTAAGTGAAGATACCATTAAACACAACCATTTGTTACAAAGTTTTGAAGATCAAATATACTTATATTACCATTTGACTAGTTCCGTAAAAATTGTATCAACACGTTTTGACTCTTCCTATGTAGTGCACTCACTCATTCCACCAAATATTGTTTCTAATACATGCTTATCTCTGTTGAACAGAAATTTTACTTCACATATTTGTCTCTTCCTATGGAGCATTTAAGGTGTTTAATTTACTTCTGGAGAACTTTTATGCCTCCTTTGTAGGAAATCGAGCTAGAAGCTCATGCTGTTAAAGGAATGGGTAAGACACATGCAAAGTGGTCTCCTGTGGCTACGGCTTGGTACAGGATGCTTCCCGAGGTGACTATAGATTTTTCACAATATTTGATTTTGTGTATAGAAATTATTACCTTCAGACTATTAGTTTTCAAATTTTAAGTCTTAAAATTGAAGACCAACATATTTTTGGTAAATGCTTGGTATTGATCTTATTATTTGGGCACTGAAGGTTGTATTATTGCGGGATATTGAAGATGATGAAGCAGAAGCACTTGTGAAGAAGTGTCCGGTTAAGGTGTTTGACATCGAAGATATTGGTAAAGGTATAGCCGCTATAGCGACATTTATCTGTCAGTCCTTGATTTAATTAGGTCACCAATTGCAAATTTAAAAATGCAAAGCTGAAGCGATAATGTTCTTTCCATTGTTTCTAACAAGCATTAATGTATAGGTAAAAAGAGGGCAACTGTTGCTCGACCAAGGGTTTGCACTCTCTGTAGGGAATGCATCAGAGAGGAAGGTTGGGACAAGAATGTAGCGCTGAGACGTGTAAATGATCATTTCATCTGTAAGTATAGTAATAGCAGGGTATTTACTTGGTTGAGTACTGTATGCAGAGATGTCCAAAGTTCTTGGTATCCTTTAAATAGAATAATATCTGTATCTTTGTCCCCTATTATTATCTACTTTCTTGTGAGCTTAAATTCAAGTTTCTTGAGTTTCAATTCGGTTTGGGGTTCTTGAGGTAACTTTGATGAGATAATGATAATAATATATTACTTCATCCAAGAAAATACTGGTAGCAATATATTTAGCATTTTTTACTTTATTCTAGCGGAATAGTTTTGTTTCAGTATGTGATGTTAACTTCTAGTACCAAGAGATTTTAGGGTATTGAGAGTTTAACTTCAATTTACTCATCACTTTGACATTCTGCATATCAAAATGTTAGGTTGAGTATAATATGTTAGCATTTTGATCATATCTAGAAGTGGCAGAGTGAAACAGATTCTTTATGCTTCAGGTTTTCATAGTAACATGAGAAAAATTCGTGCATATTTTTCAATTGCTGGATGAACACAATTATGTGCTTCTTGGCGATAACTGATTTTCCATTCCTTGGTCCCATTCATCCGATCAAATAGCTCGATCTTCAGAGAAACTTACAATATTTCTTGTGTATTTTCTAGTTACCATAGAATCAACTGGAGCATTGCCACCTGAGGTGCTGTTTACAGAAGCTGTAAAGATTTTAGAAGAAAAATGTGAACGGGTGATAACGGAGCTGTCATGATCAGTCCTAAAGGGTAGTTAGATATGTTATCCTTTCCAGAAAGCCAAAGCAAGAGTTCAGCTTCGTTTCTTATGTGTATGAGACTCTTGTGATCCGGCCCTTCCTTGGACCCTTGCACATAGCGGGAGCTTTAGTGCATCAGGCTGCCCCTTTGTGATAGTCATTCTCTCTTCTCCTACATTCATATTTCTGAAGTTTTGTTTGTCAATTTGTCTTCGGACACATTATAGACGGGAATATGATTGTATTCCTGACTCTGCTGTCTTCGGAAGCACAAGTACACGACATGTTAATTTTAGTGTTTAATTGATGGAGGATGAAGTAAAAATTTAAAAGTTTATAGTTCCTCTTGCTTTAGTTTTGCTCCTTGGAAGAGAAATGGGAAAAAAAAAGTAAGGTTGTTATCCTCCTTCGTACATCTCTTCCCCAAAGATTGAATATTCAATAAGATTGTTAAGAGGAGTTATAACTTAGAAAAAAAGTTAGTTTTTTCCTTTTCAAAACATTGTTTGGTTATATATTGAATTCATTCTTTAATTAATTTTCAAGATGAGTTTTTCAAGTGAAACATCTTTTTTTTCACTTGTGAAACTTCAACTTAAATAGGGTTTGGACATGAATTAAGTGATGTTTGAACAATTTAGTATATGAAGTTGAACTTTGAAAGATTATATTTGAAAGTTGAAATTGTGTTTGAACATGTGTCAAAAACTACTTTTGCAAGTTTGAAAAGTTCATCTTCAAAAAGTAATCAAAAAAAATATTTCAAATATATAATCAAACAACGTATTAAAAAAATCTGAAAAAAGGAAAAGATAAAATGATATAACAAGTGAACTAAGAGATAAAATGATATCACGGCCATGATTTGAGTCGTTAAAGTGTGACATGTGAATAAATAATCAGTGGCGTAATTTTTCGTTAGCGATATCACTTTTTTAAAATGAGAAACACACACATATATATATATATATATAACATCATTAAAAATAATATTTAGTACTAAAGTGAGAAAGAAGGAAAAAAAACATAAAAAATGTACAAAAAAAAAGAAGGTTATACAAGTTCAAATATGCAACCTAAGCTTTGAAATTCAAAAGTCTAACCAATTGCACTAAACAAACTTTTTTTTAAGGATTGTCTATCTTGTGGTATATATCTCTTTTATATGCCTTTTCCATTTAATCGTATATATATAAATTTCTCGAGGAAGCAGTGTAACATGACATCCCATAACCCTTCTTGAATTCACTCTATAAACAACAATAATAATTCACCTAGGGTTAGCCGTCCGAACAAATGCTTCAAGCCATGTTAGCGTGAGTTTGCAACTTACCACATGAGACATGACATGTTTTAATTGAAGGAATGAATGTATACAAAGTGCGGGTTAGTCTTGATAAAAGATACAAGTATTTCCAACACTTCAAAAAGAAAAAATGGCACAACATTACAACCTAAGATTTAATTGGCAATAAATAGTTTATTTTTTGATTTTTTTTGGGCATTTTTTTAATATCTATTTGGCATTAAATAGCTATATTTCTTTTTCTTGAAAAATGATTTCTTCTTCTGATTTTCTCTCTCGATTTCATTTATTTTATTGTTTTTTTTAATCTCATTATTTGTCAACCGATTTTGCCATCATCAGTCCCAAAACAGTTGCACAACAATAGGGCGTACACTATTTTATATTTAAAAAAATCACGGTATTTTTCTACTCTCCTTCTTTCTTCCATTTTTTTTCTCCCTTTTCAAGTTTTAGGATTTCTATTTTTCTTCTCTAAAATATCTCTATTAGAGGTCAATTACAAGAGTAACTTTCCATAAAAAGTAACTCAAATCACGCTATTTTTTTTATATTGATTGTCTGCATTTTATTTGAAAAAATGAGGGTTTCTATATTCTTTATTTTGTGGTTGGATGCAAGTTCTTTTTGTTTTTATTTATTTATAAACTAGGTAATTTGTCCGCGCTTCGTGTAGTCATAAATAATAATTGCATTGAACTTGCAAATAATTCTTTACTATTTCAACATGAATTTGATTAGTTATCATTATCACATAACTCAAGAACCTCTAACAAATGAATTATTCAGGAAATACTAAATTATTGGTTCTTTAAACAACATTAAAAGGAAAATAAAGAAGAAAATAAGAATATATATATACAAAGGCATTTCATAAGAAAAAGAACACATTTAAGTTGCTTAGATTATACAATTGTGATATCCGTCTTAAGAAAAAAATCAAAAAGTTGTATACAGATTCAAAAAAGAAATTACGCTTGAACATGAAAGCAATTATAACTTTTGAACTTGCGTAATGAATTCCTTCATTTGATAAGTGAGAAACCTCATATCTATGTTAAAATAGATAATATGTAAACTTATATATAGTACTTTTAAGTTATAGAATTTTATATAGAATATCAAAACATGAATTCTTGGAACTGAGTACAATAATTATTTTTTGCACAATGAATATACCTGCTATATGTGTATAAGTTCAATATAACCGGAGACAATAACTTTGTAGAAACATAAACAACAGAGTTTGAAATATGTACTCAAAAACAATAATTAACATCATAAGCATAAATTAATGACTGTAAAAAAATACCAGGATATGTAAAAATAGAATGAAATAGAAAGAAAAAAATCGAGTCCACTGAATGCGCAGTGTCCCCTAAGAAAATTATTCCGCTCTAACACCTGAGGTTTAAAGAATTAGATCCTCTTGGAATGGAATGATTTTATTCACCAACGTATTGATACAAGAACAATGGTGTCAATAACCCACTCAACAAGACCAAAATACACGAATATTTAACTGTGCAGAAGAAGAAGAAAAAGTTCAGAATTTTTGTTGTTTTAAAATGAGAGGAAATTCCTCTATTTATAGACAACAAATGGTAGTGTGAACAAATTTTTATTGTACCTTATCGGAAAGGTCACAACTCTTTGAAAAAATCACAATCCTTTGGAAAGGTCACAACCTTTCATAAATGTCACAGCCTTTCATAAAAGTCACAACTTTTCATGAAAGGGGAAGGCTAGTTTTGGAAATAAATAAATTAAAAGGGAATTCTGGTCTATGGTGGCGCCACGTAGGTGGGCCTAAGGTTCTTTATATATATATATATATATATATATATATATATATATATATATATATATATATATATATATATGATTTTTGTGTTTTCCATTATTTTTCAATGGATAAGAATAGTTCATTCTCAAAAGAGAAGATACGTAGGAAATGACAATGTGAAATTCTTGGAGGAAATGATGAACTGAAAATCGATGATGAGTTTGAAAATTGTCAATTATAAATATTAATGGATAATGATTTCATTTTTGAACATTTTCTACCTACAACATCAATTTCAACATATACAAACTCACTTAGGTATTCAAGTCGAAGAAACGTTTGATTTTTATTTACTGTGAATTATGAGTTCATATACATTGATGTAAAACTCTATAACAGTCTAATATATATGTCTTCAAACTGAATGTATATGCACTTGAAAGTATGTATACAAACCTGATTTTATTTATCGAAATATTTTATCGAAAGGTATACACATCAATAGGTGCAAAATATACTTATGTATACTAATAATGTATACAAACAAAGTATAAGTAATGTATACATTATAGAGCGAATGTATACTTGATTAAATGTATACGTAATTGCATGTATTCAACTAAATATATGTTTATTTGTAGTAAATTTCAAAGTTCAACACCTACTCAATGTATATATACACATATATTGAATGCTTAATACTAAGTTTAGATCATTGCAACTGAATACACAAACAAGATATGAAAATAAATTTTGTATACATTATAGTGCAACCATATACTTTATCAAATATATTTTAATTGAATATATGATGTGGATATTTGAGGGAATGACATTACAAATCCACTCTCATTTAAGTAAAAGATCCTTGTACCTGACGGTAACAATTAAGAGATAATTATGCACATCCAGGACCTCATGAAAGTAAAATTATAACAGAAGGATCAAGGTTGGGGATAGAAGCCTACGACAATCACATGAATTTCTCAAAGAATTATCCACCAGGGGGATAATTCTTCCATGGACCGAACTCCCTTTTTATCACCTTCACCCAAATAATCAAAGGTGACAACTGGGAACAAACAACCCACTTGTTGATCTACGTCCCAACTTCCGACCCTTCAAGTAGTATTCACACCCTACTTCACACCAACCACAAATCGAACAAGACATAACTCATCTTCCATCGATGACATTCCAACAAGGAATTCACCCAAAGATTTATGTTCTCAACTCCATGAAATGCTAATTGTAATTATTCAAAAAAAAAAAATTTGAAAAAATCCTCATGGCATCTCATTAAAATGCATATTTACAAATAGGATATCATGAAGTTGAGAACATAAATCTTTAGGAGAATTCTTAGTTGAAATGTTATCGATGGAATATGAGTTAATTCTTGTTCAATTTGTGGTTGGTGTGAAGGTGTGGTGTGAGTATTGCTCGAAGAGTCGGAACTTGGGACGTGTATCGGCGAGACTAGTGGGTTGTTTGTTCCCATTACTGTCACCCCTGTTTGTTGGGGGTGATAGAAATGGAGTTCTACCCATGGGAGAATTGTAGGAATTGGGTAGTGGTCCCCCCATTAGGTAAAAATTAGATTCTCCACGGGTGGGTAATTCCCTGGAAAACTCATGTGGTTGTCGTAGGTTTCTATCTTCATCCTCATTCCTTCTGTTATAATTTGAGCCAGGTACACAGGGTCTTGAATGTTGTTAGTTATTTCTTGATTGTTATCCATATTTAGTGAATGGCTGGAGAGCCCCATCTACAACAACGATTCGGGTGTTTGATCAACGGAACGGGAATGGTACTACTAAATATTAGCGATTAAGGTATTGGTTGTGATGATGGTGATAGTGGGGTGGTAGAGCGGGATGAGATTGAATGCCAACAACGGCGCGGTGGTAGATGAGGCATGATTTGTAAGTAGAAATGTTGTTTCTTGTATGTGTGATTTGTTTGTTTTCCTTCTTATAATTGAGTGGAGAGAGATATGAGTGTCTGTTTATAGTTATAGCTTTTATATCTGAACTATATTTGTCTCTTTCAAACTATAATAATAAGATTGGTCAAAATATTTTATTATTGGTCAACTTTACAATAATGAGACTCATTTATTATTGGTCAACTTTACAATAGCATGCTCATTCATATTGGTCAACTTTACAATAATGAAGGCCCTTAAATTTGTCAATATATTTCATTTAGATATCCAAATTAAGTCATATTC